GGAACTATGCTGTCATGGCTCAGAAAGCTTGCACTCATGATCCGAATGCCCAAGAAACTCGAGCTCGTCTGACTAATGCACTTGTTGACCGCTGGCACCTGCCCATGCTTAATGATGTCAACAGAAATAGTGTGTTCAAGCGTGCAATTGAGGCCGCAGTCAACCAGGGGCATGAAGTGGTATTGGACATAGGATCAGGCACTGGCTTACTCAGGTTAGTTGAGAGTATGATTTGATTGATGAGATAAAGTAAAAAAGTTAGATCTGAAGCCAAAAGCATACCAGCAACAAAATTAGTCCAAAACTGAACATCTTAAACAGGTGGAAAATAGGCCACTTATTTTGAATTGAAGAAGACTGATTTTCCTCATATCAAAATACTCTTAAGGAAATTCACTTCGATACAAGTTGTGATTAAACTACATGTAAGAGAAGATATCTGAAATACTGCTGTTGCTAAAGTTTAGATATTTAAAAAATTATGCTACATCTAAATAGATTAGAATTTCTGAAAAATTAAAACTCACCCTCTCTCACCATGGTTATTTCAACAATCCCACAGCATGTATGCGAAACAGGCAGGTGCCAGAATGGTATATGCTTGTGAAATGGACAGGTTTATGTGTGAAATGTCAGGTGACATTCTCCAGGCTAATTTTGACTTGCCAGACATTCAAGTCCTTAGCCATCATAGTAACAATCTGGCCATTCCAACTCATATTCCAGAAAGGTAATTATATTTTATCTTTTGGAATAACAATTTGTACTCCTCTCTCAATCTTTAGTTCTACTACAGGTTGTTAGATTTGTAAACAAATTATTACAAAATGTGGATTGCACATTATAAGTGGATATGAATTAGTCTGATAATAATTAATGAGCAAATAAATGTGAAACATAATTTTGTAGATGGAATGATGACTAGTTCTTCAGTTGAAAAATAAATAAAAACAAATATTGTACAGAGCCCCCTAAAATATGACAGCTGATATTTCCCCTCCCTCTCTCTTTGTATAAGCACTTCTTTCAAGTTACTTTCCAATCTTTTACAGGGTCAGTCTAGTTGTGAGTGAGACTGTGGATGCTGGACTGCTGGGAGAGCATATTCTCCCAACACTACAGTATGCATGGCAAAATCTCCTTCTGCCACCACTGCCAGCATCAGAGCTCTCTCCTCAGGCAGAGCAGCCAAGCTCCACTCATGGGTCTGGTATTACAAATCAATCTGAAAGAGTTACATGTCCATCACCAGCTCTCTTTGGCAAAGTTATACCCAGAAAGCAGAGGTGTATATTGCACTTATTAGCTGTGATTATATATCTAGACAAACAAAACTGAGAAACCCAAACTTACCCTTCTTCAAAGGCAAGAGAGTGTCTGTAAAGCATGAAGAACCTTATATGTCAGAGAAGTTGTCTCAGATGCCAGGAGGATTCACATTGTTATCCAACTGGATTCCCATAACAAGCATTAACTTCAATTCTCTTGAGGATATTGAAAGGCATATGAGTGGAGACCTAGACCGAACTCTTGAAATCCCTTGCATAAAGAGTGGAGTACCTGATGCTATTGTCTTGGCTTTTGATTTATACTTAAATGAAGAAGAGTTCATAAGTACTAATCCAGAAACATGTACAACCCTATGGGAAAATGCTGTATATCCAGTAAAAGATTTACCAAAGGTTACAACCAGTGAGGTGGTTGAAATAAAGTTCATTTGCAATGGTATTATACAGTTATCAGTATCTTGTGAAAATTCAAATGAAGATGACTATGTAAACCTAAGTGCTGAAACTCTAATGTTTCTAAACAGTGAATGCACAATTGATGCATTTTTATCTGCAGCTAAGCAAGCATCAGTCATCTTAAAGAAGCAATCAAAGGCCAGAGCACCTGATCCATTTATTGTGTGTGATACAGCTCCTTTCCCAATAGCTGGCCTTTCCTTGCAGTCAGAGTTTCCCAACTGTAAATTATACATAGAAGAGGAGTGTGTCCAGAAGACACTTAAAGAATTTAATATTGATGCTAATTTATGTGAAGATCTTGAAGATGAAGTAGACGTTCTTTTCATCTGGCCTGTGACAAAAGATGGCACTCTGAAAGATGGACTAATAAAGAAGCTCCTTATGTACAGGTAAGAAATACTAGGAGAAAATTTTAGCTTGGCATTTTATAATAAATTTTTCTACAGTGGAAACAATTAAGTTTTATATAACTTAACATTTTTATTGTAACTTTTTTCTATCCATTTTCCTTGTCATAGATTAATGATGGCAGAGAGTTGCTATGTGTTCCCACAAACATTGGATCTGGCAATAGGTCTCATCAACTCTCCAACACTTGGATCCATGACAAGAGTAGATGACTCCAACACCTGTGGCATTAAGATAGCGGATGTCTTCAATATTGTCAAGGTAAGTCAGCACAAGACAACATGTTTATTTAAAGCAGTAGCAACAGCATTAGAACATGCAGTATACATGATGGACTTTCTTTCACTCACGCTCTATTTTTTTGCAATTTATGAAGATGTTGCTGGTAATTGGTCATTTGAGAAATACTTAATGTATGAAGTTGTGACTGAGAAAAGATTTTCAGTCTGCCATTTGTTTAGTGAAGGATAATTATATTATCACATGATAATATTTCCATAACATGTAGTGCTTTATTGAAGAGTACTCACCCAAGGTCTGTTTCTCAGAAAAAGTTATCTTTGTACATTGTTTTCAAGTAAAAAAGTCGGTAAAGATTGGGGGAGGTGGGGAGACAGAAGAAAAGGAAGGGAAATTGTGTTGTAGACATAAAGTAATAAGTACACAAGTTCAACAAAAAATGGCTATTTTGGTCAGAAGCTCTATACTGTGTGAACAAAGTACAACTGCACCTGCAAGAGTTCTATACAGCTCATATGTTGGTGTATAAGGTGTTCCCTCTTTTGTGTACTCTTGCCATAAAGTCACCAGGGCAAAATTTATATTCATATGAGCAGTAAAATATTGCTCTGTGGAACATTTGAAGGTGTTTTAAATCAATTGAAGGCATACTAGTGAGAATGCCTTCAGAAAGGAACCCATTCTTGAAAAAAGTATAAAATGCAGTGATCAGCTAGTTTGTCTACACTGGTATGCAATCCTCTATAATTAGTCAACTGTAGGTTAGTATCAGAGTGAAGATGTACACTTTGATAAAAGAAAGACATTTTAACAAGAATATTAATCAACTTCATTTTTACTGTGTTTTGAAGTATTCTATGTATTTAGAATTTTAGCACATTATAAAACAACAATGAAGCTTTACTTATTGCTAAATGAGATACAATACCAGATTATTTTCAAGGAAGTAGACGAACACAGTGTGGGATTCGGACTTCACCAACTAAAGAAAATTAATTTGATTGCCAAGGTTTCCTCTTTTTCCGTCTTTCACCCATTTTGATGTTCATGAGAACATCAACATTTTTAATATGGTCTTATAAATCTCATGCAGTGCTGATATAATATGAGGTAATAGGATATAATAACTCAAATTGCAGTGACTGTAACATGAGAAATCCCATAAGCAAATAAATCTCTGAATAAGTACTTGCATCTTGATTCCTTTGTTTTTATATCAGACCCTCACTGTTTTAATTTCTAGCAGACATTGCCTTTTGTGAGTAACTATATATTCAGAATGAATTTTTTTCTGTTACAGCAGGTCATAAAAAGGTACCAAAAAGCAACAGTACTTATTATTGATAATAGTATTGTCATTGAAACTAATTATAGTGAAAATATGCATGTCAAAATCAGGAAATAGATGGAGAGAAAGAGTTTAGTGCTAAACTGACCACTTTAGTAACTTGAAAGTAGAAAGAGTATCTGGAGGAAGTTGCTGTTTTTTAACTGGATTATCATACAGTAAAGTTATTCAGAACTGAATCATACATACATACATTCATTACAGTGTGTTTGTTCACATGCTTAATCCAATGACGGCAAGAAAATGTAGTGTTCACTGTGGATATGTTTTGTGAAATGTCTTTATACATAGATGGCTCTACAAGGGCTCAGCCACCATGGGGTCAAGTAGTAGACCTCGTAAGCTCACCTGATTTCACCTTTCTTGGATTTTTTTTTTTTTTTTTTTTTTTTTTTTTTTTTTTTTTTTTTTTTTTTTTAACTTGAATCTTTAAACTAATGCTATTAATAGCAATGCTGTTATGATTATGAGAGACATTATAATCATTATAATATTATTAACATTACCAATTATCAGTATAATAAAAAATATTTCCAAAAATGAAGAAAAAGGGCAAACAGATGAAATAGGTAGTACTAGTAATAAAATCCATGGTGACCAAGTACTTGTGGAGCCATTTGTACGAAAAACATTTAAAAAAAAAAATTCACAATGGTCATGCCTTGTACACCCATGCCAGAATTTTGTTAATCTGGAAATATCCGAGAAGGAATAGATATAGGTAATTAAAAAATAAATACAGAAAGTTCAGTTAACTCCTTTAGCCTATTTACATAGCATTTGATTTACTAAACAGTAATATACTTGTGTAAAGGATAGTAGTGATGCAGATTTGTAATGCAATGTAAATTAATTATTTTTTCAATTTAAATTTGGGTTATTAAAACATTATGGTTATGTTTTCTTTTAATAGAAAAGGGAAATATTGGTAAATACTGAAATACAGAATATTATACTAATTACAGGTACGCTTAATTACAGGTACTCATATAGTTACAAGTATGTAATCAAATTATGTGTAAACAAGTAATCATAGGTACTTTTTGTTTAGTGCATAAAATCATACACATGTATTCTGATGGACAGGTTCATTTATAGCTATCCATAATTATGGTATTGCTATAATTATTCACAACACTTGGTTACATGTCAAGATATAGTTATATACACTTGAAAATTATTCCTACAACCACTCAAATACACACAATTAATGGTACGTGAGAGACTAACTGAACATATTTGCCGTTATACCTGATGAAAAATACCTGTGATCATTTCTCTTGGTTCAAAAAGTAAATGGAGGACCATCATTGTCTTTGGTATCTGAGAAATTTTGAAGGGAGGGGAAAAAGTAGACTATCTACCTCAACGATAAGCAACAGTACATAATTAGTCATACAATTCCTAAACCAGTTGAAGCACCGTCTTCGAGTGACATGATGATATTCTGCTGATGAGGGGCCTTTCATGGTGTGTGTGTGATGAGGGTAATTTCTTACTATTTGAATTATCACTGAGGTAAGCTATGATGGGCTGTCATTAGTGTCCACTAAGTTTGGCGGTTTCCTGTCGTATCACATTGATGAGATCAAGGTTGATTAGGAAGATAAATCTAAGAGATGCTATTTCTACCACAGAATTGTTGTTCAGTTTTGTCTTGTTCCCAGCCAATACTGGTTTACCATCTACATATATGGGCCTCTTCCCTTCATTGGCTATTAAGAAGTCTCCAGTGTTCCGCAGCTTGATTATGCCCTAAAAAGGAGAGTGCAGTTTAAAATCTGGAAGCCATATATATAGAAAGTAGAATTAACATACTACATTATTTTGTATTTTGCTTGAGGTTCTAAAGTCTTACAAATGAAAATTTTGAAGAAACATTTATTGAAAGAAAACTACAAAATAATGATTCAATGTCACAGAGAAAATTTTAATATAAGCCATGGAATTTATAAAATAGAAAGTAAATGACTTATTTAAGCTTCCCCATCTACAAGATATATATAAATAAAAAGGTAGTAGATTTTGCAAATACTGTAATGCTCTACAAAAGAAAGAAAAAATGTAGGATTAGAACAATATGAAAAAAAAAATAGTACCTGTTTACGAGATATTTTCCATGCTGGACCTTCAAGAGAAAGGTCAACATCTACATTCACTCCTGCAGCCTTGCGACCTAGGGTGATCTCACGTGACCTCATTAAATACCTGTTATGTAAAATTATTTATCATTATCCATTTTCATTATGGAATCCCCCAATTTAACACTTGACAGATTACACACAATGTAATAGAATAATATACTCAAAAATGAACAAGTTCTTTCCATTATAGAACACATTTTATTAAATACATCAAAAATATGTACTCTAAAAATGCTGATGATTTTAATATTTTATCAAATTATCATCCACGTACCTTACTAATCTGCCACGCAGAACAGCAAGTGTCTGATTATCAAATTCAGGTGGAGAGATTCCTGTCACAGTGTCTACGAGAACTTGCCACTTAGAAACCTGGTCCTCTAGTAACCGTATTTCTCTCTTGCTTCCTCTGCTGGCCACACCAAGCTCATGTTCTAAGAGATCATCGCTACTTTCATACAGCTCGGAGTCATGGATCTGTTGTGGAATTAATAGTCAGAATACCAGAATTGATGTGAAAACTTGCTCTTGACAACTATAATATCAAAGAAATATATTTAAATTAATTACTAAAAAAATTTAATATCCATGTCAGTCACTTACTTGCTGCTCAGCCTCTGAGAAGTCCTTCACAGGACCATTTTTGTTGAGAGGAGGAACCGTTTGATCAGGCAGGAGGTGGTACTGCTTCAGGAGGTGCCAGTGGGCCATGAGGGCCTTGGCTGTACGAGCAGGGTAGAAAACATTGGGATGTTCTTGTAGGAGTGATTCAAATGTCTGGAGTAATGGGTTTGAGTTTGACTTTATAACCCCTAGAAGTTCCTCTTCTGCCTTGCTGTACAATGCACGTGATTGTACAGCTTGTATCTACAGAAGGTACAAAGATATTAGTTAAATTACACATATTTTTTTACTGGTTTTAAAATTATAGCATATTTCAGATTGCCCTTAAGGAGTTAGTATTAAAAAGCAAACTTTGTATAGAGATTACCTGATCAGGATGTAGGTTCTTCATGGCCTGTTGAGCAATTCTGGACACAGTTGGATCATACAGCAAAGCATACCAGCGTTCCTGTACTTCGGCAAGGGTGAACTTGCATGAAAACTTGACACCCCTGTGTACAGTGACCAAGTCACAAGTTTGCTGAACCCCAATAATAAGACTCAGGTCATCAGTCGGTTTCCAACGTCCAAGATCTTTTGTTACTATGGACTGAGACCCTCGTCCTTTCTTGCTCGTTTGCTGGAAGACTTTGATGATAAGCGTTTACGGACATCTGAGGTTACAGACGGAGTTGGTGGTAATGACACAGAGCAGTCTGACGCTGTAGAAAGGGAAGGATTACGAGTGCGTATCTTGCTTATGGGTGTAGAGCTCTGACCCCCAAGACTCGACTCCACAAGTTCATCATCAAACTTTGGCCTCTTAATGGCTCGAGAAGAAGACCTGCGTTTTGTACCATCTTCTATCAAGCTGTCAGTACTGGTGGTACGTTCCCGGGGTGGCAAAGTGAGCTCCATTGATCTGTAACGTGGCCGGTTGTTCATACTGAAAGCAGAAAATATATTAAATTAATGTCAATGGATAGAATGAGTAGATCGGCTTGTCTCA